TCCAATTCAGTGAATTGATTACAATCTTTGAACTGGGAAACTATTCTCCTTTTTCTGAGTTGTTTCTCCCCCATTAACATAAACTCACTGCCCCCTAAGATTCCTAACAATTTTCATTGAGCTTCTTTTCAGCCAATGTATTTGGTGGCCATGTGAATGTTCCCTTTGGTGAAACATCTATTTGAGTCTGTTATGGGTTGAATGGATTGAATTGTGTCTCTCAATAATGTCTTACAAATCCTAACCCCTATACCTGTGGTTATAATTCCATCAGGGAATGGGTTTTCTTTGTTATGTTAATGAGGCATTATTAGAGTTAAGGCGTGTCTTGAGTCAATCTATTCTGAGATATAAAAGAGCCAGATTAAGCAAACAGAGAGGGAGAAAATAGATGCCAAGCCACATGAAGCCACAAGGAATCAAGGAACAAGGACCTTCCCCCAGAGCCAACAGAGAAGGCAAGTCTTCCCCTAGAGCGAGTACCCTGAATTCGGACTCTAGCCTCCTTGAACAGGGAGAAAATACATTTCTGTCTGTTAAAGCCACCCACCTGTGGTCAGCAGCACTAGATAACTAAGACAAAGTCCTTTGCCCATTTTATGATTATTTGTCCATTTGTTGTTGTTGAAATTTTATATATATTTTGGTTATTAGATTCTTATTGGATATATGGGAGCTCTGGTAGCATAGTGGCTAAAGCACTTGACTGCTAACCAGAAGGCTGGTGGTTCAGGCTGGTGGTTCAAACCCACCAGCCACTCCTCAGAAGGAAGGTTGGGCAATCCTACTTCCGTAGTGATACTGCCTCGGAAACCCAAGGAGGGGTCACTATGAGTCGGGGCCGACTCGATGGCACATAACAACAACAACAACAAGATATTCTCCCAATCAGTAGCTTGTCTTTTCATTTTTTTGGTAAAGTCTTTTGATAAAAGTTCTTAATTTTATGAGGTCCCATTTATTTTAGTATTTTGCTGTTTGTGGTTTTGTTATTATATTACATAATCTATTGCTAAAAGCTAGCCCCAACAGCATTCTCCCTACATTTTCTTCTAAAAATTTTACACTTTTAGTGTCGTAGTTAAGGTTGTATGTCAATTGGCTGGGCCTGGTTGAGTGGCAGCTGGATATAGTTATTCCCCATGGTGAGACTGCTAATTAACTCCATCGTGGAACCTATTAGAGCAGGTGAGTAACTGCTTTAGGGATGTGGTCTGCTTCCCATATATAAGAAGCAGCTTTGGGAGTGGTCTCTAGCCTTTTGGCATAACATACTACACAAAACATTGTTCTACCTCCCACTTTGGCGAGTAGCGACTGGGATTTTAAAAGCTTGCAAGCAGCCATCTAGATGCAACAATAGGTCTCTCCTCATCCAGAGCAAAGAAGAATGAAGAAAACCAAAGATTCATGGGAACAATTAGTCCTAGTGACTGGTACACCAGCCTATATGACTATGAGACCAGAAGAACTAGATGATGCCTGGCTACCACTGTCAACCACTCGGAGGGGGATCTATGTAGGAGATCCTGGATATAGAGGGAGAAATATGTGGAACACAACTCAAAGTCATTTGAGAAAATAAAAAGGGGGGGGGGCAGGTTTGTTGGTCTGATAGAGCCTGGTGGAACCACTGAGACTATGGCCCCTAGCTGCCCTTCAGGTCTGGAATTGAACCCATACCTGTGGCTTCCAGCCAAACAAAAGACAGGCATATGAGTTGAACATTTACCTGAGGTAAATACACTCCTTGGAGAGAACAATCATGGGAGAAAGAAAGGCTGTTTATGCACGGGGAGACAGCTCAGGGGGCAGGAGTACATGGAAGGATGGACACGGGGGAAGACGTAACTATTGGGAGGAAGTGGGAAGAGAGCTGTTGCATTGGGTAAATTGTAGTCAATGTCATGGAACAAAATGTATGTGAACTGCTGTATGGAAAGTGAATTTGCTCTGTAAACTTTCACCCAAATCACAATAAAAAAAAATTCAAAACAAACAAACTAAAAAAAGCAGCAGCTTTGGGAATGATCTCCAGCTTTTTGCCACACTTGAACCCTGTATATAGTCAAGTCCTTGTTCAGCAGTCTGCCATGCTCTGCCCATCCTGGGACTTTTAATGACTTGAATCAATGGCCTGCTGTGTTGTTTGGTAACATTGGGACTGTGCCTTTTTAGTTGTTAACCCTGGGTTTGTCAGCCTCAGCAGCCAGTAGCTGTCTGAGTGAAGAAAAGCCTCCAACTTCAGTGGGCTGGGAGCAGGAGGCAGAGCTGAAGCCCAAGGTTGAGGGACTTTCACCCAGCCCCTAGAGCCTGGCACTTTGAACTTGGACTTAAAGCCTGCAAACTATAAGAGAATAAACTCCTGTTTGTTAAAGCCATCCCATTTGTGGTATATTTCTGTTGGAGCAGCACTAGGTAACAAGAACAATTAGGTTGCACATTTAGGTGCTTAATCTATTTTGAATTTGTTTTTGTATATGGTATGAGGCTGAAATATGGTTTTGAACATCTTCTTTAATGTGCTTGTTACAGTTAAAAACAAATTTAATGACTGTCTCTGATTCAACATCAATCCACCTTTCATTACAGCAAAGAGGCTAAAACCACACAGAGGCAAGCTGCCTTGGCTCAAATTCCAGCTCTGTCACTTAGCCATCTGCTCTTTGGCAAGAAACTTGGCCTCACTGTGCCTCTGTTCCCTCATCTGTAAAATAAGGAAAGTAACAGTACTCACCTGACAGAGCTGAAGTGATGTGATGTAAAAAGCTTAGCACCAAGTCCAGATTCACCACAAGAAGCTTGGAGAACATTAGCAACTATCATTACCATCAAGGAGCTCTGGTGGTATAATGGTTAAGGCATTTGGCTACTAACAAGAAGGTTGGCAGTTTGAGTCCACCAGCTACTCTGCAGAAAAAAAGATGAGGTAATCTGGTCCCTTAAAGATTTACAGCCTTGGAAACCCAGCGCGGGTTACTATGAGTCGAAATCGACTCAGTGGCAGCGGGTTTGGTTTCGATCATTACCATCCACTCTTTCCCCAACTCTCTGGGAACCCTGGACCTGTCACAGCTGTGGAACATGACAGGCCCTGCACACCAGGCCTCAAGGAGCATTTGCGCACATCTTGTCCTTGGAATGCCTCCCCCCATTTATCCATTAGTGTCCCCCCGCCCAAAAAAAAAAAAAAAACTCACTGCCATCCAGTTGGATCCAACTTACAGCGACCCCTCCTTGGGTTTCCGAGGCGGTATCACTATGGAAGTAGATTGCCCAACCTTCCTTCTGAGGAGTGGCTGGTGGGTTTGAACCACCACCCTTCTAATTAGCAGTCAAAGGCCTTAGGTACTACGCCACCAGAGCTCCCTGGGTGGCACAAATGGTTAAATACTTGACTACTAACTGAAAAGTCTTCAGTTCAAACCCACCAAGAAGAACTGGTAATTTGCTTCCAAGAGGTCTTAAAAACCCAATGGAACAGTTTTACTCTACTTGCAATGAGCTGGACTTGACAGTAATTTTTTGTTCTGATTTATCCATCAAAGCACTGTGTGTAGAGGCCCAGCTCAAGGTCACCTCCTCTGAGGAGCCTTCCTACTACCATCAGTGCCCCCTCCGGCCTTTTGAGCATTGGGCCCACTTACAGCTCTCACCTCCACCAGCTGTGCGCCAGTGCCTCCCCTGTCCCTCCCACTGTGTCACATCCTTCCTGGGGATATGGAGTATGAGCTTGGCCCCAAGTTCCAGCAGTGGCACCCAACACAGAGTCCTGAGGGACATGCAACATTTCAAGGACTCAGTCAACAGGCAGCTCTGCTGTCACCTGCCCCATCTCCTCTCCAAGCCTGTAACTGAGGCAGTCTGGCTCCAAAGGGTGGCTGTGAAGATGAAATGATGAAACTTTGTCAAGGCTCATTTCTCCCTTCCTTCCTCCAATTTAGCCTCCTTTGCTCTGCCCCTTGGACTAGGGGGAGGAGGTGGGGTGCCTTCACCCTCCCACCAGAGTTGGGAGTGCTGGAGGCCAACTCCAGATAAACTTCTGACTCTGGTAATTTCTGATTTCAGAGTTTGAGGTTAGGCCTAGGATCTTGAACTTTCAAAAGCGAGCATAAACCCCCTCTCCTGGACCTCCTTGGGCCAAATTCTGTAATAACGCTGTTCTGAGAGCAGCAAACCCGCTCATTGATAAGGGAGGTAACCAGGGCAGAGGCATCTGATGTGTGGGAGGGGCCCAGAGACCATTCAGTCCCACAGCTTTGGAGGGAAGAGTGCTGCCACCTAGGGGCTAAGAAAGCCACTGCCAAGGCCGGGCACTTGGATACACGATTGTGATAAACACATTTATTGAATACTTTCCCAGTGTCAGGCAACATGCCAAACCCTCTACACATTCTGGTTCCCAATGACAACCCTATGAGGTAGTACTATTATAAGCCCCACTGCACAGATGGGGACCACAGGACTCAGAGAAGTGACTTGCTCAGGGTAACACAGTGAGTGAGCAGTAACACTTGGATTTGAAGTCACGTGTAACTGCTACTTGCACCCTTAACCAGACACCTGAATGCCTCCTAAATGCTTACATCACAGTTGTCTTGAGGATGCTGTGAGGAACCACATGTAAAAAGGTCCCAAAGATAAAGGCTTTGACTATGTCACGCCTCTGGAAAAACAGCCTGACAAAAGGCCACCAAGGCAGCCTGGTGGGCAGGATGGCCCAGTCTTTCCTCTTAGGCAGCCAACCACCAGCCTGGACCAGCCAGACCCTAGTAGCTCAGGCTCTGGCCATCTCTTGCCAACGTCCTCACAGGAAGCCCCACCCCAGATACCAGAATGCTGCAGGGTTCTGCAGCAGGAGAGGAGACACAGGAGGGCAGCCAGGAGTCAGGGCTTATCAATGACGTTCCCAAAGGATTTCTGCAAAGGACTGCTTCCATTTGGAAGGATCTCTAGTCTGCCCGCAGAGCCTGGTCCGCGGGAGCAAAAATACTAGTCCGTCACTCCGAGGCCTGGATGTATACGGGCACTGCAAGCATGGCACACGGGCCCTCGGCCCCCGCCTGCAGCTCTGCAAGCGCCAGGTTGGAGCCCAGCTCCTCGGCATGCCCGGGCACCACCAGCTCGGGCTCTCCACCCACCGAGCCACCCACCACGATGGACAGTACGGCATCAGGCTCGGCAAAGGGTGGCTTGTCTGGGGTAGCCTCAGGCACCGCCGCAGCCCCTGCGTCCTTCAGTTCTTCTAGACCCAGAGGGTCAGTCAGGGGGGTCTCCATCTTGCGCCCGCCACTGCTGCCGCTGCCGCGTGGGGCCGCCCTCCTCCGGGGGGGCCGCCGGGCTTGCAGGTCCTTGTCCTTTTGGGGCCCGAGGCGGCAGCGGTGATCCTTGAGGTACTTGTGGCGGGAAAAGCCCTTGGCACAGCCAGCACAGCGGAACTTGTAGTTGCCAGTGTGGGCGCGCTGGTGCTCCGCGAGGTGGGCGCGGCGGCTGAAGGACTTGCTGCACAGGGCGCATTTGTGGAGCTTCATGCCTGGGGGGTGAGGGAGGGGTCAGTGAGGGGCCACCTGCAGCGGGGATCCATGCACCTGGAATAAAATCCAGTCTCCCACCCTGGCCTACGAGCACCCGCTCCCTCTCCGCTCTCATCCACTACCTCCTCCCCGCCACTCACTCACCACCGGCCATATCTGCTCTCAGCTGCACCAAGCTTGCTCCCGCTCCGGACCTCTGCACTTGCTGTACTTCTCTGCCTGCAACAGTCTGCTTAACCCCAAACCTTGGCTAACTTTTCCAGTTACCATCATCTCTCGCGTGGACAGCCAGAGCAGCGGCCTCCTCTGTGATCTGTGCCCTGCCCCACCCTGGCTTCCTGACCATTCCCTACAGGACAGCCAGCAACAACTCTGTAAAATACAAATTGATCATGATACTCCCTGCTTCAAACCCTCCAGTGCTTTCCCGTTTTCCACAAAGCCCCATATCATCTAATTCTCCCTCCCTCTCTCCCTTTTTCCCTGTGTCCCAGGCCTCCCACCTCCCTTTTCTTCTCTCAACCACCCCCCAGTCCTTTCCCTGCCTCAAGGCTTCACACTTGCTGCTGCCTCATCCTGGAAAGCTATTTCTCACATCACTCCTGTCACCTCCACAGGGAGGCCTCCCTGATACCTCCTTTTGTTGTCTGCCTCTGTCACCAAGTTTATTTCTATCTTCACATGCAGTGTACTTTGCCATTACATACTTATTTGTTCAATGTTTATTTTCATTCTCCTCTACTAAATGCTAAGCTTCCCCAAGAGGGCAGGGGTAGGGTTCTGCCTGTCTGATTCCCTACCACACACCCAGGGCTGGGATCCTGGTTGTTGTTGTTATGTGCCGTCGAGTCGGCCCCGACTCATAGCGACCCCTCCTTGGGTTTTCGAGGCAGTATCACTATGGAAGTAGATTG